ACCGAACAATAACTATTACTATTATGGATAAATATAGGTAATGTTCGAAAGGCATGTAAACTATTTGCCGGATTAACCCTCAGCGAATATTCCCAAATATATATGCAAAAAAGCCGATTTTTTTAAATTCACAAGTGGAATTCAATTAAATGCTGTCCCCTCATATACTTACAAAGAAATATTATATAATCTGTTTTTTTTTTTTAATTTTAAGTGGTATTTTGTGCTGACCACCACTGTAAGTGGATTGACTGTCTGCTTACGACCGTTTTACAATAAATTTTGCAGCAGCAATTAAATTCAAATCAATACTGATAATTGAAATCTTTACAATGCCCTTACGTGTACAAAATGTTTATGACTCGCTTGTAGGCAACTAGATAATACTTTTGGGTTTTGCAAGTAATAGTAAATAATAAGATTTCAAGCTTGGAATGCGGTTTTTATGCTCAACACATCTATATAAACAGCTATAAAATGGTGTCTGCTTTTTTTTCGATGACAATGATGGTACATTCTTCATCCAATCGCAACTTATAACTAGTAAAAAAAAATTGTGAAGGAAGTTTTTATTAAGTATACAATTTCCTAGAGGGATAGCTGTCAAACTAGCTGTCAAATATAGCACTTATATTATTTACTATGTTACTTTCATAAATTTGAATGTAAAGGCTTACCTCACAATAACAATATCGATAATAAAAATTGTTTAAGCTCGTGTCCTGAGCGGGAAGCTCATAGACCACTTCGCACATTCGTCCTTCACAAACTAAATTTATTTATTCTGACGCCTGTTTTAACAACTCAGTCTTTTCACTTTACTAAGTAGAAAATTTTAAGAAATTATCTTGAGCTACATCCATATAATGTCCAACTGTTTTTTTGTGTATTGTACGATCGGTGGATATATGTCGGGGAATATACCTGACAATTGTTCATATGTGTTATGTGATTGGTCTCCGCTAAACTCTAATTAATGATGTGAAGTCAATGATATATGCTGTTTAATCAGCTGGAAACACGAATTCGGTATTTTATTGATGCGAACAGACCAGCTTTGTTTGAAAAAATTTAAAATATTTATTTTATATAGAGCAACTTGCGAACAAACAAGCCAGAATAATAGCAATTTTTTTTAATGTTTTTCTGTTATATTTAATTTGATTCACCTCTCAAAAAATAACCATTCGTATTCCAGAGAGATGTTAGTCGATTAATAATAACATAATAATCAGAAATGATCTACGAGTATATCTCGAAATATACTTAAAAATTTGTGACTTTCCAATAAAACGATTTTTTATATATACAATATGTATATCAAAAAATTTGAAGTTGATCCGGCAATAGTTTCGGAGGCATAAGCGTATTTGTAATAATTTTCTAACGTAGTATAATCGGCTCGCGAACTATATGGTAAATGCGTTTTTCTTGAAACGCTGTTTTCAAAGCCGGTGAGCAAAATCTCTCCGAAATAGCTGGACTGATCGACTTGAAAATTTTACACGATCTTTTTCGATGTATTTCTAAGGTAATGAGCGAAAGAGAATACCCAATTTTTCACAAAAAACGACTTTTGATAAAATTTAAATTTTGACTAGTCTCCCGATCATTAGCTGAATTTATACAAAGTCATAATAACTATTTTGGGGTTTTGGATTTGAGATAATTATAAGCAGAAAAATATTAATGACCGCTAGATAGCTTTTTTCGAAGGTCCTATCTCCAAGAAGGATCAAAAGAATCCAAATTTTTTTTAAATAAATCACCAATTTTGAAAGTACAATAAACTCTGTAAATGTACATTATTATAATTTATTTATAAAATTAAATTATTTATATAAAATTAAATAAAATTCAAAAATTATTCTCGGTAAAATGTAATTTTTCTGAATTGCAAGTGGATATTACCCCTTAAACAAAAACTGCGACACAGGGAGTATGAAAAAATAAAGAATATATTGATTTCTACCAAATTTTTACGTACATTTGCCTCAATGGTTTAGTTTATTATTCATTGTTACCATACACTCCATACTCTTTATCAATCCGCAACAAAATACCAGGCAAATAAACAAATTTGACACCAATTAGCTCATAAATTCATGCATACGTATACATACATACCTAACATTACATATGTTTTCGTTAAACTGTCATAATAATAAAAATTATGCTTACCTTCTTTCTCGCACGCAATTTGTTGGCGATAAGAAACGATTTAGCAAATCGCCGGAAAATCTCATTAACTCCATTAATTGCTTAATAAACGACAATAAATATATACATACACACATATATGTATATATGTATATGGGGAAAGTTTACACAGCTGCTGTGCGAAAAGTGAAAATTGCCAAATGGTTTACGAAACTGAGCAGACTGTGCGTATCCAATACAATTACTCGTCAACAATAATTCAATTACCATTGGAGTAATTGAAAAGTCAAAACTACACGTGAACAAGGTGAACAGCTAATGTTTAATATTATTGCAGCAATTACCGCTATCTTTTATTGTTGTACCGATCTTTTTGTTGTTGTATTTATATTGTTTAATGACTAAAGTAATTATGTATGAAAGTGTACGAGTACTTCTGTTCAATATAAAAGTCGATAAATGATTTTAAGCTGTGTAATTGAGTGAAGTGTGCACATGTCTATATATACCTACATACACCGTTAGGTATATTATGTAATATGATAAACCGTTTATTTGTCAATTACATACATCAATCAGTGCAAATATAGTCATAAAATGCGATTATATGCCTGCTGTTTTGATTGATTTGTAGTTGTTAGTGATTTTTCAACTGCTACAAATGTTGGCTAACGAAATTTATCAATATTAAGTGGCCACTGGCAACAGCAGACGGATATATTTATAGCTTTATTGTGTCGTGTTTGCGCGCAAATCGCAGCCAACAGCGATTTTTCGCGCTTAAATGCAAAAATTATGGCAAACGACAAACGCACGCCTCGCACGATCAAAATTGAAATCATGAAAATAATCCAAACCACTAATAATAACAATAATAAAGCGGTATTTATTTAAGTGTAGAAAATGTGGCACAAAACACGCTCGGTAAATGAATTTTGCCTAAAGTGTGATTTGCGCGCACAATAAGCGGAGTAAATATGCCTTAGATCTATGTATTTGCATTAAGTTTTTCATTAAACATACATACAAATGTATATATACTTGTATATGTACATATATAAATGTGTTTCAATTAGAAGAAATTAATTTAGTATTGAAACGATTAACATTTGTTGCATGGCATTTATTTGTGAAGCGCAAACACCGCAAACAGGGTATAAGTAAATGAACACACGTAGACGAACGGATGGACGGACAGGCAGGCAGATGGTGGGATACAACGGATTCAACCTCCCACCGCATAATAATAAACGCGCTAACACGCATCGTAAACGACCCGCTAAATTATTTTCAAATATTCTAATCATGCGATCGTTGCATGCGCAATTACAACAACAAGGTTGTTATTATTTATCGTGTTTAGCAAATGTAAAGCAATAACAAATACTAAATAGAGTATATCGATACCTACATACGTAAACACATCAGTGTACTTCAAAATTTTTTTTCGACTCTTACACTCTCGAATGCTTTTATTTGACCTTTCACAGGCGCATCTCTAATAGCTTGAAAGGATATAAAAAGATCTTTAACTTGAAATTTGATGGGTCAGTTTGTATGACAGCTATATCCTATAGTAGTCCAATCCGAACAATATTTCGGAGTTTATATCGTTGTCTTGGAACTTTCATGAAGATATCGGGTGCGTTCGAGATGACAATCACGACAGCAGTGTTGTAAATTTATCAAAGTTTCACGTTCTGCATGAATTTCTGGCAACACTTGCCAACAGCATCACGTTCTGCTGCCACTTTTTGCGCGCAATTTATGCAAATAATTGGCAACACAAAATTTTTGTCTGCACATCTGCAACATTACATATGTTTTATTGATATCTTCAAAATACTGCTATATTTGTTTCGAACTATGGAGCCATTTTATAAAGTTTTTATGCATCTTACAGGGCGAGCGGTCTTTTATTTTATATTACCTTTGGCAGAATGTTCTTGGTAATATATTTAGATATACCTCTATCGCGATTTAGAATATGGGTTTGTATATGAGCCAATAACTGTGTGAAGGAGGCGTGAAACTTGTGGGACCCTATCAATATCGACAATATCTGAGATAAGTAGGAACACCAGCGACGATACTTTCGTGAACTGGCCACCTAATGGCCTACCTCTATCAAATTCCCCCAAAACTCTTCAAATTTCCGACTTCAAAAAATTGCAAATAATTGCATACCCTTTGCAATTATTATAAAGTTTTCAAAAAATAACCAACCAATTTTCGAAAAATCCTATACACTAACGACTGTTCAAATCAGCTATGTGTTTTCATTAACACGAGCTGAAAAACACTTGCCTATATATCGGCACTATTGGAATGGTTCTACTCATTTTATCAGTTTTCTTCGAATGAAAACAAAATGTTGATCGGCGAAATTCATGTTTAGACCTACATTAATATTTTTAACTAAATATCAATCATAAATAGCAACAAGTTCTTAATACGCTCATCAATCAATTTATGAGTAATTAATTATAAATTAAAATAATCTAACATTTTGTGAAATATATTAATACCTATACACATACATATGTATAACATAATTTCGAAGTGCAGTAGTAATGATCGATTGAGAGATTGATATACGCTAATACGAATGTCAAATATTTATAATTTTAATTAGTTAACAATTTACTTTGGTATTAAAAAAATAATTTGTTTACGCAAATGAATTAAATATTTGTACTTCTACAATCCATACGAAGGCAAGTAACGATTGTTCATATCATTATCACTCTACGCCACGTGCACCTATACATACAACAAATTTAAAAAAAAATCTTAAATTCATAAACTCTAATCATATCCATTTAATTGTCTCTTTCCAGTTGGCCACCCGCTCGATAGAGCCCTCTTTTGGTCTGCTCTTCGGCGATTTACTACGCGATCTCGATGTCGGCACCACCGGCGCTGCCATTATAATGAGCACACTCGATGTGTGCATGAATTTCTCAGGTCTCTTCGTCGGTCCACTGCTGAAGGAGTTCTCCTACCGCAAAGTGGCTATTGCCGGTTCACTGCTCTGTGGCATCGGCTTGGCGGCCACCTCACCGGCAGCCAGCATGGCGCACATACTCAGTACGTACAGTGTAATTAATGGTATTGGTGTCGGTCTATCTACGTCGGCCGCCTTTGTCGCCCTCAATCACTATTTCAAGTATAAACGTGGTCAAGCCGTGGGTCTCTCTATGGCCGGCACTGCGTTAGGTATGCTGATCATGCCACAATTGGTACGCATATTACTCGAAGCTTTTGGTTTCCGTGGCGCTGTGCTAATGTTGGCCGGCATCGCGTTGAATTCGACAGTTGGTGCTGTGCTCTTACAACCCGCCAAATGGCATATGATCGATGAGGTGATTGATGAGGAATTAATGACAGTGCCAGTGTCACCGCCAACACCGGACGTGAAGGTCATACAAGAGGATGCCGCAGAAGAAGATGCCCTGCCCGAATTGAATACTCTACTCTTTCCCAAACAGCAATATATGCGTAAGAATTACTCGGAAATGGCAATGAATACGATGAACGGCACTCGTGTGGGTATGCCGAAGCGTCCCACTTTCCCGCGCATCATGTCACTAGCTGGCGTACAATCAGCGATGAATAACAGTCAGTCACATGGCGATGTTAATGTGACATTGCGCAACCGCAAGCACTCGGTCACGTCAAATCTCTCCTATATGGACTTCACCGGTTCCATACTGCAAGTGCATATGAATGTGGGCGATGAAGAGTTCGAACGTAATGATCGTGAGTTGAAGCGTGTCAACACAGCAGCGAGTGGCATGGCGAATGCACATCGTGACTCTTTTATAAAAATGCGCCCAACAGAGACTGAGAAGAATGAAGAACTAGCAGCTAAGGAAGCGGAGAAGAAACCAGGTTTCTGGTGTCGTTTCGCAGATCTCATGGATGTGGACTTATTACGGGATAAGAAATTTTTAAATATACTTTTCGGTCTGTCGATCTTCTATGTGGGAGAGATGAATTTCAAAATGGTCACGCCATTCTTTTTTGCCAATTTGGGCTACAATAAGACCGATGTAGCATTCTGTTTATCGATAACAGCCATCACAGATATTGCAGCACGTATAATACTCCCGCCTATCTTCGATCGTACAACCATCAAAAAGCGCACGGTGTTTTTAGTATCCATCATCTTTGTGGGCATCACGCGTTCGAGTAAGTATAACCTTTTGCTAAGAAGCTTGAAGAGTTGTTTAGGGAAAACGTTACTTGATGAAAGTTTGTCTCGTTAGCAGCAATTTCTTGGAGGTCAATCATAGTAGAATCGTATATATACGGGTTGTCGAAAGACGGAAAGTATTACTATGAAAATTTCTTTAAAATTTTTATATAAGATTCGTTAGTTGGTAATTTAGAGCATGCATCGCTTTGAATGATTTCCAGGGTCCCCGTAGAGATAATCGATTATCTTTTGCACATAATTTTTCTCTGTACTGTTGTCAATCAAGCTGCTCTAGAGTAAGTTCCCAAGGAATTTTGTCCGTCTGACTGTGAACTCGGCAGCATTCCTCCAAATTATTTCAGGGAGGTTTTCTGCTGCTATAACAGCTGTGTAAGTGCGCTCTACCATATTTATTATTTCGATTTTATCCAGTCAAAATTACTTTTCGGTCTGTCTAAAATGAATTGTAACCAAACATAATCGTAATTGTTTTGGAATTCGTCAGGGGTAATATTAATTATTTATCTTACTATAAATTTTCACAGTAAACTCCACTAATTCGACATTAGCAAATCAGCTGTTATTTTGAAATCTACTCAGAATCAATTAACAGAACCGCAAAAAGGAATTTGTTTACTGAATTTAGGATATCCTGTGCAGTGAAACTACACTAACGCATTGTATTTTTTTGTTTTTGAATTTTCATCTGCTTTATTTTAATTTGTAATCTTATTTGCTTTCACTTCCTTTCAGTCATGGCTGAGCAAACCGAATGGACTTCACTAATGGTTTGGTTATCGATTTGCGGTTTCTTCCGTGGCTCTGCATTGGCGAACTTCACACTCACCGTTTCCGAATATTGCTCGTTGGAGAAATTACCCTCTGCCTTCGGTTGGCATTTGGTTGGTAAAGCTGTATTTGTTATCTGTCTGGGGCCGCTGATCGGTGAGTTTGCTTTGCATTCATAATTGCTTTCTTGGAAACAGGTTTATTTTATAAAGTTATTTGTTTTTCTTCTTTCGACAGGTCTGATTCGTGACGTCACCACCAGTTATCCCATCTGCATACACGCACAAACCGTTTGCATATTCCTTTGTGTATTCGCCTGGGCGATCGAGTATTTGATAACATATTTGAAAGAGAAAAAATCTAACGGGGGCATCAATGCCACAATCGGACCCGAGACTAATATCAAACACTAACCCGTGCTTAATTTCGTGAGAAAGGGATATTTTTGTACGAAAATAGTAGAATCGTATATATATACTATTACACTATGATATATATACACACACATATACTTATACATTTATGTAGTTAGCTATATATATATATATACTTTTATATATATAAGATTATTTACATACATATGTATGTATTTATGTATATTGTTGAAATATATGTATTGTACTTATGCAGTGAGAGAAATTTCTTTATATATACTTTGTGTAGCAATGTATGGTTTATTAGTTAAATACTTACATAACTGTATGTATGTGAGTTAGTGTTTAATTATCAATTAGAACAAAAACACAGCATACTACTCATAAATAAATGATAAATGATGTATGTATGTATGTACAGCGCCGTGTGCATACGAGAAATGTGCGATTTCCAATGTGATAGTTCAAATTATGCTTATAGATCGTAAGGCTAGAGATACGACACGTGCGTTTGACGGTGTTACACTGTAACTGTACTCTTTTTTTATACAATTTTCTAGCGAACACATGAAACCATAGAGCCCAATGACACATAAAAAAGAGAGTTAAAGTTAAAACAAGAAAAAAAAAATACCGTGAAACTTTATCGTATTGAATTGAATTTGAAACGGCAAAATAGTTTGAAGAAAAAAATGAGAAAGGAATAAAAAAAATCGGAAGTATTACTTACATACACACGTGTGTGCAAAATTAATAACTAAGCAAAACTAATTTCATTTTACTAATATTTTTTCATGGTTATACGTTTATGTATGACTTCTTAAGCGACTTTCGCTATACTTATTTAGTTAATTATGAAATCTAGTGTATGTAAATAGGCATTATTAAAATTTAGTATAGTTTATTAAGTTTTCTGTTGTTAAAACAAATTTTTTCCTTTTGTGCTTTTAGTGCTTAAGTAATGATTTCTGCCTTCAATATATACTTTCATTATAACATTTTTTTGTCCTTTGTTTAAATAATTTTTTTACAATGTTTATTTTTTCTTAATTATTATTATCTTTTTTTCAAATTAGTAACAAAAGATATTTTCAGAATTTAGCAAATACTTAAATATTTTTGTAGTACAAAATTTAACATTTGTGCTTTCAAATTGTTTAATTAAATCTTAAAAACATGTGAAACTGTACTTAAACACTTGCATCTAAGAACAAACTGTTGGTTATGATCAAGTAGAACACACTTATTAAGCAGTAACGGAATAACATATTTTTATTTTTCGATTAAAAATAAATATTTGCCAGTGCTTATATAAAAAGAAATATTAATTCTGTAAATTTTAATTTAAAAATTCCGAATGATATATTGTAAATACATACTGTAAATATTAACACCCAAATTAAAAAACAAATATATATACATATATACTATATTTATATACTTAATAAGCTAAAAGTATATAGTTTTCATTCTTTTTGAAATTTTTAGTAGGTATTACTGAATTCATTTATAAAAAAAAATAAAATAAAATTATTCAAATACAGCGTCTACCAAATAGGTGATTTTGACAGCTCGTGACGGTCAGATTTGTTTACGTTTTTGTCTAAACTTTTGTCAGTGTGTTCAGGGGGGTTAGCTATTTCGTAATGTCAGGTTTCACTTTTATAGAGCGCTTGAAAATTTTCCAAAATTATTACGCGAATTCACTTTCTCCAACAAACAAAATTGTCGCTATTGGGGTGAGTCAAATCCTCGTGGGGTTCAGGAAACACAATTGCATCCCCAATAATTTACCGTTTGGTACAGATTGTGGTATGGCGGCAACATAGGACTTTATTTCTTTCGAAATGAGACAGAAAATGCCGTTACCATCAATAGCGAGCGTTATAGCACGTTGATGACGGACTTGTTTCACACGGCATTTGAGGAAATCGAAGCGGATGATGATAGTGATGGCACTATTTCCAACAAGATGATGTGCTGCCTCTTGTTTCATGTATAAACATGGACACATTGTGTGCAAAGTTTGGCAACTCGTTAATTTTGAGAAATGTCGGCCAAGATCATGCAATTTAACGCCTCTAGGTTATGGGGTATGTTAAATCAAAGGTATACGCCAATCAACCAGTAAAGCTCGAGGAGCTCGAAGACAACATTCAGCACACTATAGTCGAATAACGTTTATGAATTTTTATCATATGTAATATTATTCGAATAAGAAGACATCCTAACAAGCTTGAAGACGACATCTAACGGCCAGGCCAGTGGATTATTTGAGAAGTTTTTTCTATACAAAAGAACATTTGACGTTGTCCGACTCAAAAAAACCGACTACTGTTACGAGGAAATACCAATCATTTCAGATTTTAGTTCGCGAAATATAGAATAATAATCGTGCATTCAAATTTTGTTGTTGTGGCGATGAATAAAAATATTTATAAAACAATAACGTTATATTTGAGTAGAGAAATATCGGACAAATACACAGACAAAATAGGAAAGTTTAAGTATATCTCAAATAATAGACTTTTAACAATGAGAGTTTTATGAACTATGCGTTAAGGAGATATATCCGCTTGCAATTCAGAAAAAATGTTTATTAAGAGGTACTTTATTTATATATAACACAGATTACACTACACTTTAGAATTAAATAAGAAAAACATTTTATACACTTTATTTCCAATAATTTAGCAAAGTTGCATTTCTGCCTGCCTCATCTATATTACCAAAGCAATACCTTACGTTATATCCCTTAACGTCTTTTTCGTTGACTGGGTTCACTTGTTTTCGTACTAGATACTGTTTGCAACCCTGCACAATGTTTTCATTAAGCTGTCAACTGGGTCAGTCGCCAGCACAGCTGCTAAAGTTTTGCAATTTTGGAATAATTATAAGAATTTTACTAATTTTCTCACAAAGGAATTGTTAAAATGGTGATACAACAAGTAAAAACAGTGCTATTAAGCATTATAAAGTTATTAAGGCGAATGATGTGCTGTTTCTCATTTGGGCGGCGACGCAAACCCAGTTTTTCAGAGCCAATGGAAATAAAAATAGTTGTTGATGGGGGAAAAGCGACATTACCGGTGGGAGCGCAGTCGCCGAATTCTACACGGTTATCACAAACACAACACGTAAATATATATACATATATCTATACAATTTGAGTTGACGGTTAAAAATATATACACAATTTTACATGCAGGTGGAAAGAGACTGGAATACTTGGGATGATAGTCCGCGTACGGTCACAGAGCACATTGAACAGTATCGACAAAGGCTAGCTAAACCGCCAACGCCACCAGCAGCAGAGCAAGAACCAGATTTCTTCACAGTAATTAATACATTAATGCATATAGACATAAAATAAAATTTCTATATACAAAAATTTAATTGTTTTATAGGAATTAACGCCCGTCATAAAACCTCAACCAAAATACTACCTCGGTGGCGATAACACTGATAAAGCGAATTTTTCCAGATTAGAAGCTAAAACCGACGTGCCAATAACAATGAATGTAATAATTATAAACAACAACTTTGTTCGAAATTCTATGTAAATTGTATCTGCAAATTTTTAGGCTGATCTTGAGGACTGGGTAGACGATTCAGTCGATGGTGGCTGGGATGAACTAGACACGGAGCAAACTAAGCAACTGATACGTGAAAATCGCCGACAGATGCGTCAACAACGTCAACAGAAAAACTCCAAAACTGCCGGAATTGAAACCTCCCAAATGGGACGTGGCGCCCAGCCTAGTCGTACATAGTACAGGTGGTCATCACGGGATCACTACGATACGATGCATATACTGACATAAGGAATTTGAGTGCAATTTTGAGTGAATGTTTTATTTTGTAATTGGTTTGGTAATTATGCGTTTGTAAATACACTATTGGTAGATACATACACACACATAATACTAAACACATTTTAAAAGTGCATGCCTGATTATGATTTTATGACTGCTTTATTGTTGTAGTAAATTTATGCCTAAGAAATTGAAATGTAAAAATTTGAAAATTTGAATTAATTTCAATTTGTTCAATTTACATTCCTAAAAAACAGTGCGATTTTGGTTTCTTTTCGAAAAATAATTGCATTAAACATTGCACGTGAAGGTTTTTATCAAATTATATGAATATATCATATATAAGCATAATACTTAAGTGTTAAATGTTATTATAGTTTGCTGTACAAACTAATTTTCCAAAACTAGTATCATGTGTTGTAAATGTTTGTAACTAAAACTTTAGACTAAATAAAAATTTTAATATACCATATTTAAGCGAATAAAAGTATTTGAGTTAAAATTTGAGCATTTTTGTTTCTGTTGTGGTAGCGGCTTTGGTTTGGAGAATGTTGCTACGAAATACTGATTGTCGGAGAAATAGAAAAATAGTTTCAGTTGTATTATTTATGTACTAATAGCTTTTATTAAGCTAACTATATTTCCTATAATGGAAAGGGCCTTTCCAGATATGTTTGTGGCAAGTGCGGTATACCTGCCTATCTACATACAAATACTTTTTCGTTTTATAAAATTGCTTTCGGAAATGCGAAATTTTGTCACCATTACTTTTCGTCTTTTGCATTTGCAGGCACAATTGCCTGTCTCAAATTGATTTCCTGAGTTTGGTGTGAAGTGAAGTGTAACAGCCTGCGGTTTGAACGCAATAAATAAAATGACGACAAAAATAGCCGGTAGTGCAACTATAGACGCGGCCAACGAAATCTTTGGAATTGTATGCACAATACTGCCTTTATAAAAGCAGAAAGTGTTGATAAAATTTCTGCATTCACTTTTGGATAACAGATAGCAATGGTAAGTATTTACTGATTCACTGAGTTTAACAAACTAATATATGATTTTGATATTACAGTTTCACTTACCTTTGTTGATGATTCTACGATTTTCCACATTAGCGCTGCCTTTATGTGCTGGCCAAGCATTGCAACCACAAACGCAACAAAATATATGGGAATCATTTGCACCTGGCGAACTTTTACGCCTTTTGGAACATTCCACATACACAGCACCGTTTAAATATAACGCCATAGCACAACGCCGGTCAGATGAAAATGCAGCAACACCGGAAAAAACTATTTATTCAACACCAAGGTCAATACACAAACGTTCCGATGCATCAACCGATAATATATACACTGCGGAAGATCAATTAAATGCACCATCTAGCGCTGAATTCAATTATGACCAGGCTTATGAAGATTTCGTACGCGAGTACTTTGGTGATAAACTAGCAGAAGATAGCGATTCAAATGAGAAGAATGAAGAAGAAGCACTTGATGTGGAGGAAAGTGAAGAAGGGGAACAATTGGAAACGGAACATACTTCTTCAGCGGAAACGGAACTTTCGACAGGGGAAACTAAAACTCGTACACAACGGAAGACAAAAGAAAAATGCCGGCACATCAAAAAACACAAAGAAAATTGTTTGATTTGCGAGAATACGCGTAGCGGCGAAAAATCTGAAACATGCTCTTTTTCTCGTGAAAGTGAACCGCAGCGGTATGCTTTCCAAAAAGAAACGAGCTACAAAAAACAACGCGATGCTGAAGAACCCTCATCGCAAAGCCAAGAACAAACGTCTTCCGAAGAAGCAACACTAGCGGAAGCAGATACATTTGTAAAAAAAGTTGACAATAAAGATTTTGTGGGCAAACGCAACAACGAGAAACCGCCAAAAGATAGTAGCACTTGCATACAATTGGTGAAACGTGGAAAGATTTGCTATCAGTGCGTCGATGGTGACGGCACTTCCACCAAATGTTATGTGCCTGCGAAAACGAGCAACGGCAGCAATAATAGACAGCGTCCGGCTAAAGGCAACGAGCACAAAGTGCAAAAAGCTCAGCAGCGTATTTACAAACGAACAATTTCGTATTCTTTTGAGAAGGGTACCAATGGCACTATGGAAAATGTTACACCAATTGAAGCGGCACAATTGGAAAATAGAACTACCACAATTAGTACACCACATTTGAAAGAGAAGATATTCATCAAGGTGGTAAATCAAAATGAAACAATAGCGGAATAATTTTCCAAACTTCCTTCCGCATTCAAAATGTAACTGCGGTTTTTATACATACATATGTATGTGTGGGCTTGTGCAAACGATTATAAATATATTTAAACTTGTAATATTACAACACTTTTTCTGTAAAAGGGCACAGCATTTTTTGTTTTTTTTTTGCGTATTTGGCAAAATAATTTTTTCATTGCAGCACAAAAACTATTTACTTGTAGAACGGAATAACACAACACTTTCTATATTAAATGCACGTATCACTATAGACACTATAAACACATATCACAGTAATACTTTAACAGATTTTTGATTTACTAACGATATACTTTAGTTTATTTATTGTGCGAAAATTATTATTCATAAATTAAACGAATAAAACTGCACGCCGCCAAAACTAACTGTTCATTAAATGTCAAATGCAATTGGTGGAAAAATTAAACCCGGTTGACAGTGTTGACAGAAAATAACAATATAATGTGAATGCGTTAAATTTCACATGCATGCAAAATATCCTTACATATACATTTTTCTTAATATCGGAAGTTTTATATAAAAATATCCTCAACTCTGAAATCATTTCAAGTGTATTGCACACCATTATTATCATAGCTTTGTGTTGATAGAGAAAGCTTATATACCTACAACTAGTGTATAACATATCTGTAGCTGCCTTTGTATAGCAGTCTCTGGTTAGGGACATAAAACTACCGTTGAAGAAAATCTGGGATAAGTTCAATCTGCTAACGGTATATTGGTGTCAAATCAATTTACGAAACAAGAAACAACGTTAACTTCGGTTGCACCGATATTATAATACCCTTTACAACAACAAAAGATTCCATACAAGAACTTGATCTTGATCCGTCACTTTGTATGGAAGCTACAAGCTGTAGTGGTTAGATCTGAACAATTTCTGCAGTTATTGTATCGTTGCCTTAAACAATAATTCGAGCCAAATTTCGTGAAGATATCTCGTCTCTTGGTGTTAACTTACAGACATACATATAGAGAATTGGCGAAATTTGGGCATAAATTGCAGAGAAATCTGAAATCGTTATAATAATTAAAAACTAGTTAAGATTTTAATTGTTTTCCAAAATAATTTTCCACTTACGTTTGTTATAGCCTTTTAATGAAAAATTTCGAAATATGTAAAAATAAACCTTTATTTATAAAATAAGGTTATCATTATATCATATTACAATAATAATGTCTTTCCTCTTCATAATCATACTTCGCATAGGGCAAATCGGCTGATAGCGACATGTTGCAAACAATGCCCATTTGCGCACTTTCTAAAAAAAGATTTGTTTGCATTTTTGTCAATGTTAAATAAATTAATAAATTACAATACATAGTGTATATAGTATGTAAGTTATTTAAGTTTTGTGTTACAAGACGAAATTAATAATTTTAGTTTTGTATTTAGGTAAGAATGTATATTGCTTAATGCCATACATTTTTTCATGTATTTATAATTCCAGCCGTTCTATATTATTGTTATTATTGCTGAATGATAGTTGCATTTACTTAATAATTCTCTTAATGCATCTTTTCCTTTCAGCATTATTGGTTAGTGCTTATCGATGCTTACTTTTTATAAAATTGTATATATATATATATATACATATATATATTTATTTGTTTACAATTTTGTTGCTTATATAATATATGTTTGTATATAGAAATTGTGGCCGCCATTAATTGATCATTAGTTACTGTTTGTATTATTAATGTTGTTACTGTTGGTGTTGTTGTGGCTGTTTGTGTTGTTGATGGTAACATCATTCACAATGGCGATTGGTTCTTGATTCTGATTTGGCACACTATCCATATTGGGTATGTAGTCCAACGCCATCATGCAGGCGAAGACGGTCATCACCATTTTAGGTTTCACTTCCGTTATATCTTCGGGCAGAGCGTAAACGCGTGCACCAATCTTACGCGCCATAGAAATAGCATATTTAGCATTGGCCAAATTATCCTAAAAGCAAATGAGAAATATAAATTGTAATGAGAAATATAAAAATTTACATTTGCATTCTCACAAACCTCTTCGGTACCGCCAGTTCGCACCAAATCGTAGTTTATGCTACCCTCTTTGATGGAATCAATCAAATCGATTACAATTTTACCATCGGCAATGGCGGAATCGTTGAAGTTCTTCAAGCTAGATGTTTTGCCGGCGGCAGACAGTTTGCTGTTGACCCACTGCACGATCTCCTTCTCGATTATGGGATTGCCGGTGTTGGCCAAACGCGATAGAATGGACAAAGTATAGGCACGCATCAGTTGCCAAATCAGCGCTGTTGATATATAGAAGATTTAATTTTAATAATTTATAATTGTTTTTTATTTTTCAGCGGCTTCAGTTTTTACATACCCAAAGTTAGTGTAGCATTTCCATCGTTCAAATCTTGGCCAGCAATACCGACAAGCGAAAATTTCAGCTGCTTGCCCAAATCCACAGCATAATTGCAATTTTCCAATTTTTCCATGAATTTGCGTAGGGGCGAGAAGCGTTTGTGCACACGCTGCCAATTTACAATACCTGGCTTGATGATATCGAAAAGCTGGAAGATGACCAAACCGTCAGCAAGATCCGAATACAACCAGTTGACATGTGGTGCCACGCCCATGGAATTCATCCAGTTTCTGTAAGCTGTTGAGAAAAGTAAAATTGTAAAATTAGTCGTTATTCAACCAAATAATTAATTCACCATGATGATGGAAATTTTAATGTCGACAACATTTCTTTCAACACAACTTACTTTTCTCTTCGCGTGTCTCCTCAATCGATTCTAAGCCATCGATTTGTTCCGGCCTATCCAGTCCTGGATGATTGTTGAACAGGTTCGCAACGAAGGCCAAATTCAACTTGTAGACCCCATTGACAACGTCCTGCGGTGTCAAGAAGCTGCGACAGTTTAATTTGGCCGCCTGCTGCAACATAATCTCCGCGCGTGATGTCAGATCCGACTCGCGTAACGCATCCAAATTGACATCGACATCGTTGCCGGCAATCTGCTTCAGCAGATGTGAATAGATTTCAGAATCTACAATGTCAGATTGGAAATTGGTGCAGCGGCGTGAAATGCCTGCGCGCTCCAAATGATGGTTGACCCAACGCAATAGTATGGCTTCTGGTGATAGTTTCATCAAATCTTCCAAACGTTCGTTGTCAAAGAGCAGACCCGCCAAGCCGGGACAGCTGTCGAGCGTTATGTGGCTGAAGAGACCAATTCGAATAATTTGCCACAACAAGCCCAAAACCAAATGTGGCTTGCCTTTGGCCAAATCGTGTGCGTCGATGTTGACAATGTTGCAACCAATCGCTTGCGATGAAACTAGCGCCAGCGTCAAGTTTTCAAACTCGCGATAAACAGTTAAATTCTTCTTGTTGATGGCACGCTCATCGATCGTATCCGGGCAGGAATGATTGATAATCTTGCAGAGTAAGATACCATCCTTAATAGCTTGGTACAGATGTTTTCCCTCGGCGTCGATTGGTAGCAAATGCTTCAGATCTTGGTCATAACCTAAATTCGAATTGATCCAATCGGAGAAGGCAAGTTGCTCTTCCAGACGCACTGAGTGCGTGGTGCCTTCGGAGGATATGCTTGACATGCCACCCAAAGTTTCGAGGTTCTCCTTTTTGGACACAACGGTCTTGAAGGTGCTTGCCACATCTTTGGATTTGAGATCGAGACAGAGATTTTCGAATTCCTCGATATTAAGTTTGCCCTGATGTGATGTGCGTTGTTTATTCTGGAACTCATCAATCATTTCGCGCACCTGGTAGCCTGGCAATTTGAAACCGACCTGATCCAAAGCGTCCTTCAACTCGCACAAATCGATGAAGCCATCTTTGTTGGCATCGATCTAGTAATGGAGAAGTAAAAATAAATTAAATTAATTTGATTCGCATACTATAATATGTAAATAAAATATACATAAGTACATAAGTGAACATTTAAGTAATAATTTAACAGCAAGGAAACGCGTTTAGCGGAATGGGGCTGTCCAAAAAATGAATCAAAGCATTAAATGACATGAGTCATGCAATTTTGCCCTCGAATATTCAATTTACATGCTCGTGACGAATCAGCGTCGCGGCCAACGCTGCCGTTCGATCACCTCCGGTTGCGGGTGATTTCAGCGCGCAATCGATTTGAAGCTTACGATTGTATGTATTTATGCGCATAGGTCAGCTTCGGCAGCACGTAAATCACCCATTAGGCATGTACATAAACTACAACCACAAGCCAAGCAAATATAATAAAATTTAAATACAATAAACACCAAATTCGACGCAGCTGTGTCTGCGGCAGTGGAAGTTGGCACCGACTTTGGCTCGGCTATGACTCGTTTTTGAGGCGCGTAAAACCTGTTTGCTGGCCTTTGAGCTACTAGTCAAACACAAAACAACTACTACCCACACACAACACTGCTGCAAAGCACCGCCGCTAGCCGGCATGGCTGATAATTACAACCACCCAGCAGTAGCGGTGGCGCTGACGTCAGCGTCAACAGCATTTACAACAGCGCAAACGTTCACAGCGTCTGCGGCAGCGAAGCTTTCTGAGCTGATGCGGAATAACGCTGGCTGCTTATGCGTTAACATGCAAACATTCACACATGCAAATGTACGTTCGCAATTTGCGTGTTTAATTGCTTTCCCGGCATACCAGACCAGTGCGCCACTCGCATTATTCACTTAAGTTATATGATTTGTTTACTCTTTTTTAAGGAAGCCTGCTAACACTAAATAAGGGCAATGGCAGGAATGTGGTGGTGCTACACTCCCAGTGAATTTGATTGACGACCTGGACGGAATTCCAACTGGAATTTACAGTTTGCAACTGTAAACAAAGGTGGCCTATGATTTCATTCAACATTTGCCGTTGCTCACTCATCGAAAGTTGCTGCTAATAATTGTTATAATTAAATGAATCCCATTATTTACCACATCCAAAGGCCAAATATATGTACATATCTACATACATACT